CCCCATTCTCTCCCCAGAGCAGCCAGGGCTGCGCAGGGAAGCACAGGGCAAAGCCCTGGACAGCCACGAATCATCGACTCCAGAAGGAAGAGTATTCCTAAACACCACCAGGTCAATGACCACACTTAATGTTGGTACCAAGAATTAATTGGGACCTTTGGAGGCCGCTGCATCAGCGTCGGCAGCCTGAGGGCCATCCGCTTCCTGGGATGAGGGGGATCTGGGGAACAGGCACTGCAGTAACAAGTCTGCTTATTTTACACAAAACCCCTCGGATTTCACACTCCCCAACACAATCTGGCCCGCTGGGCCCCTCTGCTGTCAAGCTCCAGCACTGCAGCCCGGCCCCCACTCCCACATCATTTAATTCAGATGGCACAAAAATAAGACCAGCCTCGACCAAGAGCAAGTCCCCCGAGAAACCTCGTCTTTTCTGGACGTTTAAATAACATCGTTACGGAAATGACCCAGGAAGGCTGCAGTCTGTCCCTCACTGGGGCAGAGAAGCCCAAGCAAACCCTGCAAGGGACAGTACCAGATGCGTTGCTATCTCCCGCTGCACCATCCTCACCAGGCTGAAATAGCCCGTTCCCGACCACCTATTTCATAGAAATTCTTAAAAATGGTTTGTGTTGGAAGGGACCTTAAAGCTCCTCCAGCTCCAACCCCTGCCACGGGCAGGGACCCCTTCCACTAGAGCAGCTTGCTCCAAGCCCCTGTGTCCAACCTGGCCTTGAACACTGACAGGGATGGGGCAGCCACAGCTTCTCTGGGCACCCTGTGCCAGCGCCTCAGCACCCTCACAGGGAAGAGCTTCTGCCTAAGAGCTCATCTCAGTCTCCCCTCTGGCAGGTTAAAGCCATTCCCCTTGGCCTGTCCCTACAGGCCCTTGTCCAAAGCCCCTCTCCAGGTTTCCTGGGGCCCCTTTAGGCACTGAGGCTGCTCTAAGGTCTCCCTAGAGCACAAGCAGAGGGGTAGGATCCCCTCCCTGAGCTGCTGCTCACGCTCTGGGGGTGCAGCCCAGCACATGGGGCAGCTCTGGGCTCAAGCATACACTGAAGCTGGCTCATGGGGAGCTTCTCGTTGACCAACACACCCAAGCCCTTCTCCTCAGGGCAGCTCCATCCACCCTCCACCCAGCCTGTAGCTGTGCTTGGGATTGCCATGTATTGAGACACATGAAAACGGGTTAGGAAACAAGCTAGCCAAGCTCATGGTATTTTTAACAAGATGCATTAAAGATTATCTTAAAAAGGCTTTATTTTCTGTACTGCTACAGTTGTTTCCATTTGCTCTGGTACCAAGATTCACCCACTGACCCACCCCTCCGCTCTTCAATACTCCACTGTGCTGCACAGGGCCCTGCTTTCTGAACCATTTTTGAAGATCTCCAAAGCACACCACTTTTGGAAGGCTTCTTCCAAGGCAAAGCAGTCAGTTACCAGGCAAACTCTCAATGAAGTCCAATATTTTATTCAAAGACAACATTAACCTTTTACTTTTATGCAAAGGGGTACATTTAAAATGAGCACACTCTGCTTCAGGAGGACGCTGCTGCGCCGTACGTGCATCCATGGGGCTCCGAGAAGCTCAGATGGCTGCCATCCTTCAGTTATCACAGTACTGTACCTTTACAAGAGACAGCATCAGCACTGTGATAACTGAGCCAGGGCAGCCTGTCAGTCATTGCGGCCCCTCCACAACACTGCCGAGCCCAGCAGGCACATCCTCCACCTCCTCATCCTTCACACGTCTCAGAAACACAGCATCACCCCAGCCAGTGTCCATCTGCCAGGTGAAAAGCTCAAGAGCATTTAACAGAAGTGGCTTTGCATCAGGGGTTTCAGTCCAGCATTAATTATCTGGCTAATTTGTTATCTTAATCACTGCAGTGGCTTCTGCAATGCAGCTCAAAGTGGTTTTAAGTAGTAGCTTCTGCTGGCTACATCCACCAACGCTGGATTTAATGGAAATAGGGTAACTAACTGCTCTACAGGTATCACCACAGAGAACATGGGGACTCCTCTCTTCCCCCTTAAATCCACTGGAGTTAAGACAGCAGCATTTGGTTTATGCTGCTTGAGTATTGAATGTCACCAACCAGTCACTGGGTGCAATGGCAGAGAGCCAGATGAGTTAATGGAGCTATACTGCCTGCAACAGCTGAGGAGGGGGATCACTAACAGCACCAGCACGAGGGCTCTGAGGGGAGCAGCACCCAGCCGTGTTCACCAGGGGCTGCAGCTGGAGTAAGCACACGAGGGGCCTAAAGGCTCAGTGGCATTTTTAGGTTATAGGGTACAAATATAAGGTTGTGAAATAAACAATTCCACCACAAACTGATCATATTACAACCTTACATCAACCTATATTTTTACCTCCTTCCCTTTTTCTTCCCTAAAAACAGGCACTGCCGAAAAAGATCATGGAAATATTTCTACACACACACACACACACTTTGGTTAAGAGAATCAAACAGCTCAAGTTCTGAAATGAGTTTCAAAACCAACAGTTTTACACAATAGAAGTTAATGTGTTACAGAAGAAGTTAATGTATTATTAAGTTTTTCAGAAGTTCATTTTGGATGTTGATGGAATTCACTGGTCCAGGGTGCTCTCACCTCCACACCAGGAGGAAGCAGAAACTCCAGCAGCAGCCTAACACTCCACACAACTCACCTGGAGAAGAACACGTCCTGAGGTGTGGCAGAGACTGTTGTTAAGAGAGAAATACGCACCAGCCAGCGGGCTCCAGCTATCAAACCGGTGTCTTGCAGGGTTTTAACTCCAGAGGGCAACGGAGAGACAAACACGAACTATCTGAGAGAAGCACGCAGTGGGAAAAAAAAACATTTGTGTGTTTTAAACCCAACTCCAAACATACATTACATAAAAAGGGGACAGCCAACAGATTACGCAATCCTGACGTACGGCACGGAGGACTTAAACACATCGCCTCAAACTCACGGATTTACCACCATTTGTAGATTGAGCATTAGAGCCTGTGGCCGCGAGAGCAAAACAGACAACAGAAAAGCTTGGTAAACCACGTTAATAGACTCTGTATGTACATCGGTGACTTCTGAAAAGGAAGCTGTGTAAGTAATGAACCATTTGCTCTCGCCCTGAGGTGTTCTTCCAACACCACTACTACTCCAAGAGAAAAATTCTATCGACTTCCATAGAATGGCATTGAGAATCCTGTGTTTCACAGGCTGAAGTGATGAGAGGTGTCATTTTATAGCTCCAGTATGCCTTGACTGCTCTTTCAATGTTTTATTCCATGCTCTCAGGAGTTACCATAATGCTCTTTAAAGGCAGAGGTTATGAGACCACAAAGGTGAGCAGCTCCTGCCCGACACCCCCTGGCACAAAGGTTGGAGTTACATATTCTAAAGGCTGATGCCATTTTCTCTAGAGGATCTAGCTCTTACTCCAATGCACACGCAGTTCGTTTCCTTGCATCTCACACTCACCTGTTGATTTTTGGTCAGACTAAAGCTACCCAGACCTGATACAAAAACCCTAAGGAGAGTCACCATTATCCCCTGAGGAAACCCCCTTATAAGCAAAACCTGCATTAGTTTTGGAGCCTAACACAGTCTTTTTCCCCTTGCGACTGCAAAAGCATCGCATATTGCCATATACTTTTAAGAAAACCCCTCGAGTTTCCCGTGTTTGCTGCCAGTTTCTGCTCCTGAAAGGAGCTAGCGACTCTGCTTATTTGGGGATGGGTTTTGTTAACTTATGTGCACCGGAATTCCTTTAGCATCCCACCGCCGTGCCCGGGCCACAACCCGCACGCTCGCTACTCCCCGGGGTCTCAACTACAAGGGGGGGGGATGAGGTATGAAAGGGAGCAAACCTGATTTCCACCTTCATCACGGCGCTTGGCCCAGAAATAAAGCCTGAAGAGGAAACAAGCAGCCAGTTACGATGGAACGAGGAGAGCGGCTGTGGGAGAAAGCCCCCCCCCCCCCCCCAGCCCCATAACAACTTCCCTCCCTACCGACAGCGCTTCCGCAACCCCAAAGGGCCCGGCCACCCCTCACCGCCCTCAAGCCAACCTCAACGAGACACCGACCCCGCACCTCACCCGTCTGTCTCCGTCCGTCCGGAGCGTTGGAACGCACCCAGAGGCCTACTCGGGGCCTGTCAAGTGGCGGCGCCAGACCGACGGGGCGGGGGGGGGGGGGTACGTGAGGGGGGGGGGGGAGCGGGCTGCCGCCCGCTCCCCCCCCCCCCTCACGTACCTCCCCCCCCCCCCTTTCCTCCGGTACCGGCCATAAAGGACCCACCTGAAGGCCGAGCCCGGGGGGCGACATGACGCAGCACGGGCTGACGGCGTGAGGGCCGCCATCTTGGTGTGTTTATGGCAGCGCCGCCATGTGACGGCCGCTTCCGGGGCGGGGGCAGCCGCGAGCGTTTTGTCCGTGTCCCGTTATCCCTATGTTGGGAATGGGGTCCTTTCCATGGCGGTCCGGTGCGGGCATCACACATATACACACACACACGCATGCATCAGCAGGGTCAATGCAATGAGCGACACTATCCCCACCGCCACCGTTGTCACCGCCTCGGAGCAGAGCGACCGCTTCGACGTGATGGGATGCGCGTTTGCAAGCCTTGCACGTTCGAACGTGGCCGTTTGCAGCCCGTGCGTTTCTAACCCGTAGCCGCACGGGGCTTTTAAGCCCCTGCAAGGCCACCCTGGCTCCGTGCGGGTCAGGCCCTGCAGCGCCTGTTGATGCTCTGCCCGGTTGCAGGACGCGCACGGGGTCCCTTGGTCCCGGAGCCCTCCGCAGCCGTCCCCTCCCGGCGGCGGATCCGTGCTGTTGGGGGGCCCCCGTGGGGCTCCGGGACTACAAGTCCCAGGGTGCCGCGGCCCGAGGGGGCGGGCGGATGGGGGGGGGCGGGCAGTGCTGGCCGCGGGGGCTCCCCCCCGCCCTGCTGATGTGTACGGGCCGCGGCGGCGGCGGCTGGATGCGGGGGGAGCGGCAAGGCTCGGCGGGGCTGGCGTGCGGTCCTGCCCCGCGGAGCCCCGGGCCGGGCTCCGGCAGCCGGCCATGGCCTCCAAGTTGCTGCGGGCGGTGGTGCTGGGACCCCCCGGTTCGGGGAAGGGGACGGTGTGCGAGAGGATCGCCCGCAGCTTCGGGCTGCAGCATCTCTCCAGCGGGCAGTTCCTGAGGGAGAGCCTCGACGGCGGCGGGGGTGAGTGCCCGCGGGGTGCCCCGCCGGGGGCGGCGGGACAACGAGGGGTGCAACGGAGGGGACCGGGGCGGCGATGGGGATGGGGATGGTGATGGTGATGATGGAGATGGTGATGGGAGCCCCCCCCCGTCCGGGTACACCCCGGGTTGTTTTCTCTCCGTGGGGTTGGCACAGCTCATTCGTTGCCTTCTCCCTCCAGCAGAGCTCCCGGACCGCCCGGTAAAAGTGGGCTCTGGTGCTGGGGTAAGCCGACGGTGTGTAATAGTTTCGTTCCCGTGCCGAGCGGGTACGGCTCCGGGGAAGCCGGTGGGAATAACCCGTCTGCTCGGGCCCCGATGGTTCACGGTGGCAGCGGGGGACACGGGTTATGTGTTATTAATAACTTCATCTTGCCCCGTGTACGGGAATGGGGTATAAACTGCAGAGCGTCGGAGAGCAGATGGCTGAAAGGGTGGTGATGCCTGTGCAACCACGCTGGAAGGGATGGGTTGGGAACGTGCATTCATGCACGGGGGAGATCCCACGGGGAAAATTACGGTGGGTCACAGGGTGCTGTGATGCGCTGGGTTAAACCAGCCCCTGTGGCAAGCCCGGCGGGCGTTCTGCTGTGCTCGTGCCTGTCTCTGCTCCTTAGGAAGCTCCCTTCTAGGTCCAAAGCCCTGGGGAGAACAGATGGTCTCTGCTGTGTTCGTGCCCCGGGCAGTGCTGCGAGATGCTCCCCAGTCCCGGCGATGCTCAGGAGTGGGCGTGCTGCACCCCACCTTGTGCTCCCGTTCCTCTGCAGCATCCATTAGGCAATCCCAGCATGTTTCTTATTCCAACTGTTCCTCCTCTCCTCTGCCAACGTGTGAAAGACTGACCCAGGGGGGAGGCTGACTCACCGGGCAGAGGAACGGTGAAACAGCAGCAGCACAAAACAAAGCAGAGAACAGAGGAGGGGTAAAGTTTTGGAGAGCTCTGTGCTCCAGCAAGGGCGTTTCACACAGCCCTGCGCCGGTCACTCCTTTACAAATACCCAGATTTCCTTTTACAAATAAACGGGACAATATTATTTCCTTTGGAGGGAGGCTCAAATTTAGGAAAATCCCCATGGTTGCTTTGGCTGCCGGACAAAACACCCGCGTGAAAAGCGAGCAGGGCAGGGCAGTGCAGGGCGACTCTGTGTCCACCTGGGAACTCACGCAGTCAAGCCCTAAATGAGCGTATTCCCTCAGTCCTATATTTCAGTTCATACTCGTGCTGTAGAGCTCCTCTGGGGACACTGGGGAAGGAAAAAGGGGGCTGTGAGAAGTGTTCCCCACAGTGCATTCTGTAACTCCGGTTTCCCAAAGGCAGCAATGCTGAGAAATGCTGGTAAAATTGCTCAGAACTCAGTCAGCCCTGGTTTTTGGTGCAGCTGGCATGACGCTCTCATCCCACCTTTGACTCAGCCTCCAGTTACAGCTCTCAGTAAGCTGCAGCTATTTGCTATTTATTTTCTGCTATTTGCTTTGGACAAGCTGCAACACGACTGTGCTGCCGTGCGCCAGCTCCAGGGGAAGCTAGATGCAAGTAGTCTCTGCTCTTGAGTTTTACCATCTGCGCCACTGGATTTGCATTTGAGGGGGGCTGGGGGCCTTTGATCCAAACGGGATCGTCTCAGAGTTATCGCCCTAAAGGAATGCATCTGTCCAGTGATTTTAGAGTCATCTTGGCCTGAGGATGGCGGGGAGACCTCGGTGCACGGGGGATTTTCCCACTTGCCATTGCAAGACATAAAGAAGCTGTGGTTGTGGGGTTCAGGCTTGGGTGTCAGCAGTCCTGGGGATCCAGGACTTCACTCTACAGCCGGGTGAAGCATCTGAATGCATGCTGAAGGGCTTGAAGCTTTGCTACAGCAACCCTATGAGTGCATCGGCTATTGCACATTTGTCTGTTAATAGTGTCTCGCTTAGCGAGTGGCCATTCTGCTGGAGAAAAGGGCCTTTTTAAAGGTCTTGGAAGGCTTAGAAACTGATTTTGGTGCTAAGCAGGGGTGCTGGAGGGTGGTGAGTGATTTCCTTGCCACTACTTGCCCCAGCACCCGGGGGTTGCTCTGGTGTTGGCAGCATCTCGGGGTCTTATCAGGACTCGGCAGTTAATTTGCAATACAACTTAATTTCTTTTCCAAGTGGCTTTGGCTGAGGGTCAGCATCCCGCCGGGGACATGTGAGACTTGTGTCTGTCCCAGCGCTCCCTTTAATGTGCTTCACTGGAGGCAAAAGTGGCTCCTGTCCCCTCCTCGTGATGGGTTTTGTTTGTTAGCATCAACCAAAGGAAGCACAGAAGAAAGGTTGGAGGGGATGTGGGCTGTGCGTGACTGAGCCCCATGGACCTTCTCCCCACCTTTTCCATGGCTGATGGGCTTTGCTGCTGGTTGGAGCTGGGCCCAGGAGGTGCAGCCAGCCCTCTGGTTTTCCATAGGGTCCGTGCTTCATCTTTACGTCCAGGAGCAGCCACCCCACAGACAGACTCCACTGTCCATCAAATGAACAGGTCATGGCCTGAATTTGGGGCCATATCGGGCTCCAGCTCTCCAAATTCACATCCTGCTGGTGGGGATGGGATGGGAGTGAGGGTCCTGGATGGAGCATCCACACTGGGAGCAAGGTCCTGGGGTCCCAAAACTGGGGTAATGTTTGGAGCTGTTGCAGCTTAACTGTGCTGGTTCACAAGCAGCTGTGGCCAGTCCCCTATTAACCATCCAGGGTTTCTCCTCTCCATTAGCTCCAGATTGTGTGCTGCAGCCTAAATAAAAACAAAATCACGTTGAAGGTTGTGCCATGGGGCAGAATATCTGGGGTTATCTATCACACAAGGGCTGGAGGCTGCCAAGCATCCTGTTTGGGAACAGCCTCTCCTCCAGCCCGGTCCTTGGTGGCTGTTTTGCTGCTCATGGCCTCGGGGGCTGGAGATGTCTCTTGGGGCTGTTGCTTTTATAAGAAGGGATGGTTGCAGATCAGGGTCTCACGGGGAAAGGAGCCGCAGACAGCTTGACATCCCATGCATTAAAGGGCAGATTAAACCCATGGTCATTAGATTAATGGGATTAAGCCCGTGAGTCAAAACTGAGCTCAGCACTCCTGGGAGCACCCAGTGCCAGCCCAGGTTAGGCAGCATGAGCAGCATCTAAGGAGCCCCCTGCTACCTGGGGTAACTGCAGAGCAATGCATGCAGCCCCTCTCTGCACCCAGCTGAAGCATTGGGGATTGCTTGCCTTGGTGCTGTGCAGTGCAACAGGGGTGAGCCCCAGCTCCTCACACAGGGGAACCAGGGTCCGGAAGGGCTGCCCAAGTGCTGCTCCCCTTTGTGGGAGTGCTGCACCAGGGGGGCTTGCATGGAGCAGGTTGGGCTCTGAGGCTGGTGTGGCTGGAAAGGGGATAACAAATGTAAAACTGGAGATCATGGAATCGCAGATGGATTTGGGTTGGAAGGGACCTTAAAGCTCATCCGCTTCCATGGGCAGGGACCCCTTCCACTAGAGCAGCTTGCTCCAAGCCCCTGTGTCCAACCTGGCCTTGAACACTGCCAGGGATGGGGCAGCCACAGCTTCTCTGGGCACCCTGTGCCAGCGCCTCAGCACCCTCACAGGGAAGAGCTTCTGCCTAAGAGCTCATCTCAGTCTCCCCTCTGGCAGCTTAAAGCCATTCCCCTTGGCCTGGCCTTACAGCCTCTGATGAAGATAAAGGTGCCTTGAGGAACCCTGTGGGAGCAGGGCTGTGCTGCAGGGATGATGTTCTCCAGCACATCCTGGGTGTTGGGAGCTGGGTATCAGGCACCTCTCAGGTCCTTAATGCAAGATACATGCCCATTCCCTCTGTGAGAGAAGAGATAGTGCTGCCACACGTGTTTTGGAGCAGGGAGAGCCTCCATGACCTGTGTGGAAGCAGTCAGCACCCTGTGCTAGTGCGTGGTTGTGCTTTCCCCCATGCTGGTGCATGCCCCTCTGTCCCAGTGCGCATCCCCATGCTGTTGTGTCGACCCAGCGAGCACGGGGCGCACAAAGGAGCAGAATTCCTGGCAGCAGGAATCGTCCATCTGTTGTGGAGCAGTGGAGAGCCGTCCACCCGTATCAGGGCCGTGGGAAACGTGCAGCCTCTGTGATGCAGAGCTGCATTTCCACACTTCACAAGTCGGTTTGCAGCACCAAGCCCAGCTCCACTAGCGATTCCCTGGGATGGCCAGCGCTCCTCGGGACCTTCTGCAGCTCCATGGCTCCCGGGCTGTGCTCTGGGATCAGCTCTGCCCTGCAGGCCTGTGGCAATGTGCAGACCATGTGAATGAATATTAAAATCTGCAGGCAGATGTGACAATATTTGTGCCCTGGCGGGTCCCTGTGCCGGTTGCATAAGGCATCATGTATTCTTTCCATCCCCGAGTCCTTTGCTTTTCCAGGCAGGATGGCTGCCAGCAGCCCTGGCGACAGAGACAAAAGCACATGTCATTGGGAAAAGGTATTTTCTGCTCCCGGTGCCTGGCAGCCACTGTGGCTCCAAGCAGGGAACTGAAGTGCCTTTATGGAGCAGAGTGGTCCCCATCCCTGCCGTGACTCAGCCCTGCAGGCCCATGAGTCAGTGCCTGCTGCCAGTCCGTGTTGGACACAGGTTGTGCTCCAGGCAGGAAGCATCCCTGCCACGCGGCCTCTGCCCATCGGGTTTGGAGCCCGAGAAGGTTTCCTGTGCACATCCCAGCCGCCTGCTCCCAGGGGATCCGTGCAGGCTGCGCCAGGTTCCCCGTTAGATCGGATGAGCCCTCTCCAGGAGCTGTGTGCTGTGCAGACCCCCCTTCCTGCAGCTCAGGAGTGCAGGTGTACCTGCCTTTTGCTTTGACAGCTCGCTGCGGTTTGGAAAGCCAGAGCCTGCCTCCAAATGCAGGCTCCCATGGCTTTTGTAAGAGAGTTCCTCTACTCTGAGAGGCAAAAATGTGCTGTCCTCAGCAAAAACCTCCCCAAACCCAAGGCAGAATTGTTAATTTCTGGTGACAAACCCTATTTCAGCTGCTGCGGGAAGAGAGCAGAGGTGTCCATAGGGTCCTGGTCCAAGAGGGGAGAGGCTGGACCTCTTCTTGTGGCAGGATCAGGGCAGGTCACACATGGTGGTAGAGACTATTTGCAATCAGTTTCTTTGTGCCCCTGGGTGGCTAAAAGAGAATCCCAGGCAACCCGTAAGTAAGAAGCAATTGGATTTATTGCATCTCTCCTTGGAGTAACATTTGCTCTACCCCAGCTGCAATAAAAAATATAAGCAGAATAAACCCTTATTACATCCTGGGTGATGCCAGGTGGATGTGAAGGTGGATCCAGACATGGTGTAACCTGCGCAGAAACCACTGTGGGCTTCTCCTCAGCACTGCTGGCTCCAGCTGAGTGACGTGGGGGAGAGCCAGCAGGAGCCTGGTAAGGGATATTTGCATTGCAGTTGCACCACAATGAGGTTCTCAAGGATTTGATCTTGGGAATAATTTTCTTATCTGACTGTATAATAAGTTGAGTCTTTGAAGTCTTAAAGCCCTTCGGATGGGGAGCTGTCTTCCAGTACTTAAAGGGGCCGACAAGAAACCTGGAGGGGGGCTTTGGACAAGGGCCTTCAGGGCCAGGCCAAGGGGAATGGCTTTAAGCTGCCAGAGGGGAGACTGAGATGAGCTCTTAGGCAGAAGCTCTTCCCTGTGAGGGTGCTGAGGCCCTGGCACAGGGTGCCCAGAGAAGCTGTGGCTGCCCCATCCCTGGCAGTGTTCAAGGCCAGGTTGGACACAGGGGCTTGGAGCAAGCTGCTCTAGTGGAAGGGGTCCCTGCCCATGGCAGGGGTTGGAGGTGGAGGAGCTTTAAAGTCCCTTCCAACCCGAACCAGGCTGGGATTCCATGTTTGTACGTTAACCAGGTCTGTGGTATGGGATGGGGTGACCATGCCGCCGTCGGAGGTATGTGGAGTTGGCACATTCCTTGCAGCTGGTTCAGTGCCTTTGGGACATTTAATATTCATGCCAGTGTCACCTGTGGCCAGACGGGTGCTGTTTCCAAAACCAAAGGAGCTCTTTGCATGGCACATTGTGCGTGCACGGGCCTGGCAGGGACGGTGCTGTTGACGGCAGGGCTGCCACAGCTCATCTGCTGCTTGCTGTGCTCCTGCTCTCGGGTATTTCAGCACCAACAGGACCTCGTGGCCTCCAGCTATCAGGAGCAGCAGCTCTGAGCAGAGGGATGCTGCCGAAACCATCCTGGATGAGCAATTTGGGAGGACAGGCAGAATTTGAGGGGGAGCGCTGGTTTTTAAGTGGAAATGTCATGTTTTTTTCCTTTTCTCCCTCTTTTTCCTTTGCGTCTCTTGAACAGAAGTTGGTGTCTTGGCAAAGCAGTACCTTGAGCGAGGCCTTCTGGTGCCCGACCACGTCATCACACGCATGATGATGACGGAGCTGGAGAAGCGGCGAGAGCAGCACTGGCTGCTGGACGGTGAGTGAGCTGCCGGCATTCCTGGTGGGAAAATCCCAGCTCCCTTTCAAACTCTGTTCTGCTGCCTGTGGCTTGGCAGTACCAGGAAAGAGATCTTTGATGGTCGTGGAAGGAGAGGCGGGGGCTGAGCTGTTGGCAGAGACATCTGCCCTAAGCAGCAGCACGTGCGTGTCCAGCTGAGCCCTTGGCTCGTGTCCGGGAAAGGGAAAGGCTGGGAGGGGAGATGGGTGTTTCATAAAGTGGAGCCAGGGAGCAGAGTGGGGCTGGAGGCAAGCCAAGAAAAACCTCTTATCACCTCCATATGTGCGCAGAGGAGATATTCATGCCGAGGCTGAAAGCCACCTGAGGTGCGGGTGGAGAAGACACCGAGAGCAAACCAGCAAGGGAAGCAGTGAGAGGAGCAGCAAAGGGTTTGCCAGGAGCTCCTGCAGCCCTCGGTGGTGAAGCTGCATCCCAGCAGCTGTGGTGGCAGCTCTAGGGCTGGTGGCAGCTCTAGGAACTGCTTTGGGGCCTGGTTAGGGGATGGGGCAGGATGGGTTGTGCTGAGCTGAGGTGCTGGGCACAGGCAGGTGGGATGTGTAGGGATGTGTAACCATGGCTGTTATAGGGGTAGAAACCTTCCCTTGCCAATCTGCTGATGTCTTTGAAACGGTGAGTGAATATGGAGATAATCCCAGAATCCCAGACTGGTTTGTGTTGAAGGGACCTCAAAGCTCCTCCAGCTCCAACCCCTGCCACGGGCAGGGACACCTTCCACTAGAGCAGCTTGCTCCAAGCCCCTGTGTCCAACCTGGCCTTGAACACTGCCAGGGATGGGGCAGCCACAGCTTCTCTGGGCACCCTGTGCCAGCGCCTCAGCACCCTCCCAGGGAAGAGCTTCTGCCTAAGAGCTCATCTCAGTCTCCCCTCAGGCAGCTTAAAGCCATTCCCCTTGGCCTGGCCCTACAGGCCCTTGTCCAAAGCCCCCCTCCAGGTTTCTTGTCAGCCCCTGACAAGCTTTAGGCTAATAATACCCTGCTTGGGAAGACCCTGGGAGGTCTCAGAGGGTTTTATGGATGTAAAAAAGACTAAAAACATTTAAAAAAAGGGTGTTATTAGCAGAGAAGACTGAAGAGGGGACCCGCTTGAAGCCACCCCTTGTTGCAGTCTGATGGCAAGAACAGATGCTTCCACCAGCACCAGCCCCTCTGCAGGGATCTAGCCCAGCATCAGACACGACTTTGCAGGAAAACATGAGCCCACAGCGACCTGTGTGATGTATTTTGGGAGTCAGTGCTGTAAGAGCTATTTTTTATTGCAGCCATATGGTGGATGCCTGACTCTCACACCGCTTGTGCTAGAGCGAGGAGCTGCGCTGGTTCTGCAGCTCCGGGGCGGCGGGTTTGGTTCCATCGCTGCTGCTTTCCTGCCTCTCACGACAACCCCTTCCTGATGCTGTGTCTACACAGGTTTCCCTCGCACGCTGGGGCAAGCCGAGGCGCTGGACAGGATCTGTGAGCTGGACCTGGTCATCAGCTTGAACATTCCCTTTGAGACGCTGAAGGATCGCCTGAGCGCCCGCTGGGTCCACCCGGCCAGCGGGAGGGTGTACAACATGGACTTCAACCCCCCTCATGTCCGGGTAGGAGCCTGCAGCATCCCAGTGGTGCCGGCTGGGAGCAGCTCGCAGAGGAAAAGATGAGAGAAACCTTTTCTGTGCGAGCTGGGATCAGAAATAAGCATAGGGGAAGAAATCCCAGGGAGTGAGTGCTGAGCAGTGGAGGGCTTGGCCCTCGGGGCCAGCCTGAAGGGGTTATGCTAAATGTTAATTAGCAAAATGGGATTTATAGAACTGTAGAATCATAGAATAGTTAGGGTTGGAAAGGACCTTAAGATCATCCAGTTCCAACCCCCCTGCCATGGGCAGGGACACCTCACACTAAACCAGGTCACCCAAGGCTCTGTCCAACCTGGCCTTGAACACTGCCAGGGATGGAGCATTCACAACCTCCCTGGGCAACCCATTCCAGTGCCTCACCACCCTCACAGCAAAGAATTTCCTCCTTAGATCCAATCTAAACTTCCCCTGTTTCAGTTTGAACCCGTTACCCCTTGTCCTGTCACTACAGTCCCTAATGAAGAGTCCCTCCCCAGCATCCCTATAGCCCCCCTTCAGATACTGGAAGCTGCTCTGAGGTCTCCAGGCAGCTTCTCTTCTCCAGGCTGAACAGCCCCAACTTCCTCAGCCTGTCTTCATACAGGAGGTGCTCCAGCCCCTGAGCATCCTCGTGGCCTCCTCTGGACTTGTTCCAACAGTTCCATGTCCTTTTTATGTTGAGGACACCAGAACTGCACACAATGCTCCAAGTGAGGTCTCACAAGAGCAGAGCAGAGGGGCAGGATCACCTCCTTCGACCTGCTGGTCACGCTCCTTTGGATGCAGCCCAGGATATGTTTGGTTTCTGGCCTGTGAGCACACACTGAAGCCGGCTCATGTTCATTTTCTCATTGACCAACACCCCCAAGTCCTTCTCCGCAGGGCTGCTCTGAATCTCTTCCGGAGATGCTCGATGGATGCGGAGCAGGACAAGGCATTTGGCAGCGGTGCATGGGAGGGAGCTGCAGTGATGGGGCTGGGGCTGCATCCCCTCCATGATGTTTGCCTTCCTGCAGGGTGTTGATGACCTGACGGGTGAGCCGCTGGTCCAGAGCGAGGACGACAGACCCGAGGCCGTTGCTGCCAGGCTCAGAAAATACAAAGATGCTGCAAAGCCAGTGATAGAGATGTACAAGTGAGTTGGACCGTGTGGGATAACCCACAGCATGACTGTAAAACCAGGCACAAGCTCTGAGATGCCCCACACCCTGCCCTGCCCATGCAGACCCATCACTGAGGTGGGGATGGAGATGCTGCAGAGAACAGCTCTGTGCTGTGCAGGTCCAGGGTGGTGTGTGCTGCCCACTCACCCTATAAAAATCATCCAGGGCAAGAAATCAGTTTAGGTAAAGTACAGGGTGATTGGCAGGAGGCTTGGATGGGTCTACTGTGAGCACAGGCACATTTCAGGGCTTGTCCGTTCTGCAGTGCTGGTGGTTTGGGACTGAGTTGGGAATAGATGGATGCTGTTGGTGGCAATCCACTACTGAAAGGGAGCGAGCACCCAGGAGCATTTATGAAACCAGAAGTGGTCCAGAAGGGGGCAAAGGTGCCCTTGCAGGGGAGGGAGGAGAACTGGGGCCATGAGTTTCCTACTTGCTTAAGCACATGAATAAATCCTGCTGATTTACATTCGTAAAGCACTTTATAGAGTGGTCTTTAGGGGGGCGAGGGTGAGCTGTGTCCTGGGTAATGTGGTTATTCGTGGTTATCTGGGTTTGGCTCATCCATGTGTGAGTGCAGCTGGGCTCCTACCAGTGAACACCATTGCTCATCCCCTTCATCCCCGTCCTCTCACCCAAAAAGCCATTGGTGAGCTTCCAGCCTGGCTGGGCTGTCCCCTGCCAATGGCCAACCTGACCTCAGGAAGGGTTGGTGGTCACTTCTCCCCCCCATCTCTCTTCCAGGAGCAGGGGCATCCTTCACTCCTTCTCGGGCACAGAGACCAACAAGATCTGGCCGTACGTGTACACCCTGCTTTCCAGCAAGATCCCCCCCGTCCTCTCGGATGAGGAGAACTAAACAGCTTGTCCAAGGACCAAGAGTTGATTCCATCATGGATTCAGTTTCTCTGTGCGGTGCTGGGGCTGTGCTCAGATTAGGTGACTGGTATCTTGTGTCCCTTCCCCGGGTGTACTGGGTGTCATCGGTGGGTACATGGTTAGAGCCAGTATCAGGGGGGAAAGGTCTTTGTTTATAAGGTCAAGTCTGCTGGAATAAGGTGGGTTTATTCCTATTGGAGGCTACAAAGTGTTCTTGTCTATGGTCCAAGTGCACGCAGAGATCAGGTCATGGCCATACCAGGTTTACACAGCTTGCCATGACGTCCCTGCCACCCCGTACAAACCCCGGTTGCTGTTTGAGCCTACAGTGTGCCACCCTGTTGCTCCACAGTGCCGTTTGCTGTAGGTTACTCTCTAGTTGTTTGTTGTTTGTGGTTTTTTTTTCCTATAAATTATTTTCTATTAACTTTATTTCTTAGAAAAAGAAAGCTCTACAAAGCACGGCTCAGCCCAGTGGGAACTGGAGAGCAACATGGAAAATGTGTACACTACAAAGCTTGGAATGTGAAGATCACATTTCCAGCGTTAATACACATAAAAGAGGGAAGACTTTGGAGGTAAAACACACACTTGTGTTTCTTCCATAGAGGGAGAGGCAATTCCTGTCAGAAAAGGCTGCTGTACAGTCCAGTTTTCATGCAGTGCTGTGACACCGAGCAGGATCTGTGCTGGGGATGCGTTGCACTCCTTTGTGCTTACCTTTGTTTATAGCTTTGACTACGACAAGATACAGTCATAAGAGTTTCTCCCAAAGATCTGTTTCAATGTGTGCTTCAGTTTTGGGGAGAAATCAGGTCATTCCATCTTCTGTGCTGCCTTTGTCCCTGAATTCCCCTGGAGATGGGGTGTTCCCCACGTGGTTCCTGCTGCAGCATTCCTGGCAGGAGCAGCTCCTTTGCCACAAACCCCAGAGGGATGAGAGCCTTCCCTTCCTCAGGACACGTGCTGGGGCTGCTGAGAGCTGTGCCCAGGCATTTCCCACCATTGACAGCATCTTCTGATGAGCATGTTGCTCCTCTTCTCTCACGTGCAGGAGCTTGGTGGCTGGATGGGACGGCTTGTCTCGACTGGAAGTACTGTGACCCTCCTTGGTGGCAGGACTGCAGTACCTAAGCAATGGGGATGCTCGTTTTGTCTCCTCAAGTTGCCTTATTTTATAGACTATATATTTAAAGAAAAATAAAGCCAGATGTGTATTTTTAAAGGTTAAAAAAGGGAAAAAAAAAAAAGCTGAATTTTAGCATCAATTTTGGGGAATTCTGCAGGAAGCTGCAGTCTGCCATGGGTGGCTCAGCAGGAGGGCAGGAAAGCTGTCACTCCACAACCCCCATTTGATGAATTAGTGCAGCCCAGGCAAATGTTAATTGCTGAAGTGTCACTATTCCTATGTTTTGTTTGGAGAGTGGCCCCATGGCAGGGCAGCTTTGTTAGGGATGCATAGGTGAAACCTCAGCACATCCCTGGATGGCTTTTATCCCCACCGAGCCACCCCACCTGAAGCCTCATGCTGTTGGAGGAGCCCCTGATGTTTGCCCTCTCTGACAGAGGCAGCTTTGCCCTGGAGCTCTCCTGAAGCCCTCAGGCATCTGCTCAGTGAGATCTCTGCCTCTCATTGCCTGCCTGTGGGTGAAGGTGATGATGCAGGTGAGGCTCCGCATCCCACTCTGGGTGGGATCGGTGGGAGCAGTGGGACCATCACTGCTGTCCCCGTGGCCTTTCCATTCCCCTGGAGCTCCTGGGCTGGGATGACACAAATCTTCCACCCTGCAATGAAATCCTATTTAAGCAAGATTTTCCCATGACCCTCGCGTGAGGCCTGGGCTTTTTTTAAACACAGATCTAGAAAGAGCCGAAACGTGTGTGCTGTTTTCTTTTGAAGTGTTGGGCACGAGGGGAGGAGACGACGTTGGGGAGGGGATTTTAGGCTATAAAAGCAGCCTGGCCATGGCAGGCAGCTCTGCCAGGGCCAAGTGCCGGGCAGGGGGCTGCTCCCTGCTTTTCCTTGCTCTTGTGTCTCATCCATCCCCGCTGCAAAGTGCCTCCTGCAGAGAGGCCACCCCATGCAGCGCCCGGCGGCAGGACAGGGCTCGCAGATGTCTTTGTCCCAGGAGAGCCGCCTGAGCGCTTGTTTTAAAGCCTTCGAGTCCTACAGGAGGTGTAAACCCTATGACTGTGCATGCATGGAGCCTTTGGGGAGGGTTTCTCTACAAGAGTCGTTCTCTGGTGCATTTTCATAGACCAAATACCAGCAGGGACTCGCATCCCTCATCCTTCCTCACCGCTGCGCTCCCCTTTGGTACCCTACTGTGAACCTCGCGCCTTTTGTAAAGCAATGGTGATTTTGTACTGACCCAAGATACTGGGGGGGGGGGGGGGTTGTGTGTGTCTTCCTCTGTGTGGGGCTCTGCTGGCATCTCACGCCGAGTCTTCTTCCTGGAGTTTCTTCCCGGTGCATCGCTGCGGCCGTGTTACTGCTCGAAGGTGTAAATAAATCTTTCCTGCTGCTTATCCCTGTGCTGCCGGTCTCTGTGTGTGAGTTATGCCCGGTGTCCACTGGAAGCCAAGCTCTGCATGAGCCTTTGCCCTGAGCTGAGGCTGTTTCTTTATACAGGACAAGGAGGAAGAGGAATGGGAGCATCCCTGCTTGAATGCAGGAGATGATCCCCCAGGAAATGGGGTCCCCCGGGTTTTGGGCTTGGGCACAATCCTATTTAGGTCCTGTCATACATCCACCTCCTTTGTTTGAGGTAACCCAAAATAACAGTTAAAAAGCCAGTTCTGACAGTGCAGATTAAGTGAGTTTCTCCTTCCCTCCCACCCTTCTTGCACATAAAATGGGGTTTATGTTCCTAGTTAACTTCCCCAATAAAAGAAATGGAGAGGCTCTGGCCATTGCCTGCACCCTGTGTAATCCATCACATTACTTGGTAGCAGGGATTAAAAGCCATAAGATGAGGTGCCTGCCCCCATCACTACCCATCTGCAGATCCAACTGTTTTGTATTCCCACATAGGAGCTCAGGGCCCTTTGGCCCCTATTTGGAACAAGCAGAGACTCAGAAATGAGTAGGAGAAATAACAATAGGGTAATAAACAGCAAACCCACTGCCTGGGAGGTGAGGAAGCAGAGGCATAGTGAGGGTGATGCCGGGGCTCAGGGTCATGGCAATCCAGAGGCCAAGGAGGGATGTATTGACTGTGTGCAGGATTTGGGATGTATTGACTGTGTGCAGGATTTGGGATGTATTGACTGTGTGCAGGATTTGGGATGTATTGCCTCCATGCAGGACTTGGGATGTATTGACTGTGTGCAGGATTTGGGATGTATTGACTGTGTGCAGGATTTGGGATGTATTGACTGTGTGCAGGATTTGGGATGTATTGCCTCCATGCAGGACTTGGGATGTATTGCCCCCGTGCAGGATTTGGGATGTATTGCCTCCGTGCAGGATTTGGGCTATAACGCCTCTGTGCAACTCTGGCTGAGGGTGCAAGGGCAGATAAATACAACGAGGAAAAGAACTGCTGTGTAAGCCAGAAAAAGAACTCAGTCTAAAAACAAACGATTGAAGGTCAAAAAGCAGAGGAATCTGTGAGGAATGCGAAAACCCAGCTGAGACCAAAGCCTTGGCTCTTCCGCAAGTGCTGCCAGGGGAGCGGGGGGGGGAACAAGGGTTGGTGTCCCCATCCCTGTGTCCTGACCTGTGGCATGTACGAGGGGTGCTGACAAGAAACCTGGAGAGGGGTTTTGGACAAGGGCCTGCAGGGACAGCCCAAGGGGAATGGCTTTAAGCTGCCAGAGGGGAGACTGAGATGAGCTCTTAGGCAGAAGTTCCATAGGATTCTATGGATTCTATGATTCTATTAAGGGATCAATAGCACACAATGTATAGAGATAGCAGAGAAAGGTGAGAATTTTGATGCAGTGTTGTTCTGAAATGAAAAGAAGTATCTAGCAGCCCCATAGGAACAAGCTGCTTTTTGGGTGTTGTGGCTGTCCCTGGCCATGGCAGGTTTGGGTGCGTGTCCCTTGCAGCTGGGGAGAAGCCCCCAGTTTCACAGAATCATAGAGTCCCAGCCTGGTTTGTGTTGAAGGGACCTTAACGCTCACCCAGTTCCAACCCCTGCCACGGGCAGGGACCCCTTCCACTAGAGCAGCTTGCTCCAAGCCCCTGTGTCCAACCTGGCCTCGAACACTGCCAGGGATGGGGCAGCCACAGCTTCTCTGGGCACCCTGTGCCAGCGCCTCAGCACCCTCTCAGGGAAGAGCTTCTTCACGTAAGGCTTGTAGGATCTTGCTCCTTATTTGCTGTCTGAGCTCCACGCTGCTGTTTTACAGCCCGGTTACTTTAAATCATCCTTTTGCATACCTGTCCCTGGGGATCTGTACCTTGAGCTCCTCTGTTGTTTCCCCATCAGTCTCTACACTGCTCTGCCTCCCCTGGGTGTTGTGCAGAGTGATTAAAGCTTCTGGGATGCTCAGGTACAGGGGGGATAAGGGATACCCAAGGAAGATAGCTGGAGTTACTGATGACTGCTTGGAAGAAATGGAACTGCTAGTTTGTAACCCCATCACATCTGTAGTTACAGATATTATATGTAATATTTATATTATAATCTGCATATATATTATATAATAATATATAATAGTTGATAGTATAACATATTGGTGTTATAGTTATCTGCTGTGATAAAGGTTTGGGGGCAGTTAATAGCATCTTCATAGTGGCAGCTAGTAATGGGGAGCCGGGGAAGCACCTCAAGCAGCACATTGCCCCATTCCCTGCTCTATGACACGCCACATCCCCACTGACTCCATCCAAAGGGTTTCACCTTCCCCCAAAAGTAAAAAAAAAAAGGAATCAATACAGAAGATGGGCTCGTTTTGCACTCGACGGCTCCGACCTGCAGACTCCAGATCCCATTCCATGCCACATTTTAGAAGATGTGATATGTCTGCCTCCATCCTCATCCTTCCCTGAGTCTCGGTAATCCCAAATATAACCGGGCAGGGCCCGGAGCAGCGCGCACTTCCCAGGCAGCAGCGCCCCAGCCCATGGCCACCGTCGCTGTCATCGTCGTCTTCGCCCCGTGACCGGGGACTGCCGCCGGATGAGGAGCGGGGAGGCGGCGTGCGGGAGCGCAGCCGGGATCCCGCCGCAGGAGCCGGGAGCCGAGGATGCACGCAGCTGAAAAGGGAGGTAAGGAAAGCTCGGCCATGAGCGGGATGCGAGGGAAGAGCAGCGAGGCGGCGGCGGGGGCACCATCAACGGGGGGCCCTTGTTTACGGCGCCTTTGTGCTGAGTAATCATTGGGAACGCACGCCGGGATCCTGCAGCTCGGGAAAAACCCTGCTTTAGAGCCCGGTTGTGTAATGGGCTTGAGGGTTTGCACCGAAAACTGCCCCTCTCGACAGCCCTGTCTGGTGGGCAAGCAGAGGGGCTGGAATCCGGCAAGCTCTACCTGGGCGCAGAGTGTTGAATAACCTCCCTCCTGCTCCGGGTCACCCAGTGATCCCATACCAAAACGAGCATCTCTTCTTGCCAGCCCAAAAGAGGTGTTTGTGCGTTTTAGGGTGGTGGAAGCCATTTGGGCATGTTGCTGTCAATGAATCAAATTGAAGTGGTTTTCTGGCTTTAAATAATAGTTGTCACCTGTATCTGAACATAGCTGTACTTCCTACCGGAGGGGTAATGGGGGGTATATAAATGCTGCTATGAAATACTGATGTCCAGCCTCTCACAGCACATCCACTGTGGAGCTGACCTTCAACCCCCCTGTTTTTTTTATGCCGACACAAACACAGAGCTGCATTCCCTTTAAAAACACTACTTTGGGCCAAAAAAAGAGTAAAAATACACAGCTGTGTGCATACATCATTGCTTTTGCTTTGGTCTTTCTGAGGGAGGTCCGGCCGGGTGTCCGGGGTGGAGGGGGACAGCAGGGATGGGGCCGCTCCCTATGGCACCGCTGCTCCAGGTAGGTGTTTATCCCCCTCAGCATCACCTCGGGAGCACTGTGGCTTTAAATCAGAACATATTTAATGTCTCACTGATGTATTTGCGGCTGTCGTTACTATAGCCTTATTTTGGGTACTGCCAAGGAGAGGAGAGGGAGGAGGAGGAGGAGAAGGGCGAGGGATATCTTGGACAGGCCCCCAGGTCCGCAAAGTACGGACTTTATTCACCTTCTGCATCTGGACCGGGGCCTCCAT